TTTTTACATTTCTACGAAGTATTCACAATGCTTTAATATTTTGAGAGCATGGATAAAGACATATTGTTAGTTTGATACGTGTTTCTGTGGTAAAATTTGTGTTTCCAGCTGTGTACTGACAGCATTCCTTTACTTAAGCAGTATTTTTTTTTTTTTGGACCGTTTTTTTTTTTTTCGCCCTCTCGCACCGATTTTGGGGTACCCAGAGGATGTCATCCATAAAAATAAAAAAGTGTGGCCTTAATATTAAAATTCTTTAACAACTATATTGAATTTCATTTTTTCTCTCTTTTGCTACTGTTGTCAGGTTTTCTGTCTGACTGCCTCTGGAAGAGGAAATGATTACTGGGGTATTGGAGGTTAACATAGAATTAAAAGAAAATATTCTCACAAATTAACTGTATACTCTGCAGGTACTGAAGGGCCAGCACTTCTACAACTTTGGTGACCATGGCGGGTTAATAGTGGCCGTCCGACAGTATGAAATGACCAATGAAATTTTGTAAGTAGTTGTTTTCCCCATGATGCCTGGATAATTGGCGTGTGTTGTAGATTTCTGACTTTTTGGTCATTGTTGGCTATAATGAGATTTTTCCGAGTATTGGCAGATTTATGACTTCTAGGGAGCCCAAGTCTCTTGTTTAAGCCAATGTTTGAAGAATCTGTCACAGAAACTGTAACTTTGAGTACATATCACGGTAGCTGAAATATTTCGCTGGATTATATTTCGTAATAAATTTGAAATTTATTACTAAAAAACAGATACTCATGGAATGAAGGAGAAAGCTGGGAAGTTTTGATCTTTGGTCCTGAGAAGATAAGGGTATATGGTGTGCTGACGGAGCCAGGGGAGCATACCACCATCTTCTCTGTGTTTGGCTCCAGGAGTCCCATCCACAGTTGGCTCATCATCAAGGTCAATCTGACCTTTGTGTTCAGTAAGTACAGTAATTATTCAATAATTTCAAACAGCACCACTTAACAATTCCCCCCCCCCCAAAAAAAAAAAAAATGTTTACAAATGAAGTCTGTTATATTTAGGAATGTTGATTCAAAAGTATTGAAAAGTAAGTCTAGGCTTCTTGTCAGAAAGTCTATCTATAATACTGTTAATAAATTGCATTGGTAAATGGATCAAGTTTTGATGATGCATTTGGTCTTTTCTTCGCTGGTATTATATATGAGGGATTATAGTAACAACTTTATTCTAACTCTTTGCCATTAGATAACATAGCCTGCAGGGGAGATGACTACAAGGAGTGGACCCCCTCTGACCCCACAGAAGGACATGGTAGGGGATGCCTTTTGGGGCGCAAGGTGGTCTACAATCGCAGAAGAGCTCATGCCAAATGCTTGAATGGCAATGACTTTGATCGTCCAATCAGACAAGAAAACTGTCTTTGCTTGAGGGCCGACTTTGAATGGTAGGGAGAGGGCATAGATTGAATGATTGTTAAATGTATCAGTTGAAAATACAGGCTGAATTTATTGTGTACTCTCTTGCCTACACTGGATATATATGTATGTATATATTTATATTTATCTCAGCAGGTATCTTTCGCAGTCTGTCTTGATGCATCTACCCACATTTCTATTGAGCCTCATGAACTAGTTCTTGAAAGACTGCAAGTTTTAGCTTGATCGTCTTCAAGTCAATCATTCAAATTTTATATTCTATACTCAACCTACTTATAAAAATTTTACAACACTTTCTAATAAAAATTTTACTTAATAAATTATTAGAAAATACAGCTCAGATGATAAATACCCATCATGATATCTCTTTGTTCCAGTGACTTTGGCTTCAGACTGCAGTATGGCTGGGCACCGCGGTCCTCCAACTGTCTGTATGACGCAACATCTGGCGTTGACGTCCACAGAGTGCCCACAATCTGCCCCGAGGGAGGGACCTACTTTAGAACAAAAGGGTACTTTTTTTGTTGTCATTAGTTTGTAATTGAAATCAAATAAATAAGATATCAAACATTCTTTTGTCACAGAAGAAGTAATTTTTTGAGCTACACATGTTCTGATAACAGTTTGACATTTTCTTCAGTCTGCACTAGTAACAATGATTTTTGATCATTTGGACATGAATGACACCTATTGATGTCAGTGCAGTCTGAATAAGTTATCAGGTTGACATCAGAATGTTACAGTTATCTAAAAGATTAACAGTTGTGATGATCTGATAGCAAAGGTTACCTATTTTGGGAGCCATAAATACCATTGGCCTAGGCAGTCCCCTGGACTCCACTCCATATTTTCCAACTTTTCCACTAAATGGCAGCCTCATATAATGATTCTTATGTGTATAATGATTCTTAAAAGTAATAGGAGGCAGTATGGAAAACTCATTTGATTCCATGAATACTACTTTCAGATATCGTAAAGTACCTGGAGATACTTGTCAAGGAGGTGATGAGGCGAGGTATGGTCCAGATAGACTGTTCTGCCCTGTTGGAGGTAAGCAAACGTGATGTGTGCATGCATGCACATGCATGATTTTCCTTTCATTATTTTCATCAGTGAGAATGCGTATGTGTGAATTGTCATGTAAATGGTTGCACAGGTGAATATATAGCCTGTCCATGGATTAGTTTGAGATTAATTTATTTACTTGGAGATGAATATAAACCTTATGATATCTGTATGTTTTATGTGCCATTTTGTGATAAGAAGTAAAAAAAAAAAAATAAATAAACGTTTTAACCATACTTTTCTTCTGTCTTTAACCTGATCATGATAGCCTTACTAAGCTTAAAATAATCACAAAATCTTATTTTCTTATTTTCTTTTTCAAAATCTTTATTTTCATTATAAAATAATGTTTAGCCAAATCTTGTAGCCAAATGCTAATTTTCAAGATCTTCTCCTCCAGTAAAGCCAGAGTTTCTCCTGTACACCAGACGTACTGTGGTCCAGCGCTATATACTGGGGGACAATACTACAGAGACCATAGCTCTGCCCCACCTCTCCAACACCATCGCTTTGGAGTATGATTATAAAGGAAACTGTATCTTCTGGGCAGATATCAGTGAGGATTATATTAAGGTAGGGGGATGATAAGGAAGGGGGATGATATACAGTCAGTGGTCTTAATTGCATAAAAGTGCTGTACACATTTGCTTCAGAGCTCACAAAATTAAAGTAAACTGATAAAAAAAGATGAACTAAACTTGAAATAGAAGGTAAATTAAAGATAAATGCAGTCAAATAGCTAGTGCATAAACAAATATAGCAAATTATATAGTAAGTGAAGATATGGTTTAAATAAAAATCTTTCTTAAACTTTAAAGAAGTGCTCTCAGGGCACTGTAATAACTATTATTTCCCTTGCAGAGGATGTGTCTCAATGGCAGCGACACGGCAGAGGTTCTGGCAGAGGGACGACTGGAGTCTGTTGAAGGCCTTGCCTTGGATTGGACCTCGGAGAACCTCTACTTTGTGGACGCAGGCCGTCGTGTGATTGAGGTGATGAAAACTGATGGCAGATTCCGTAGAGTTCTCATTGATGGCTCGCACAATCAGATCATACCACACTCGAACAGTAAAGTTCTGGACAAACCCAGGGCCATTGTGGCAGACCCAGCCCATGGGTGAGTTAACTCATGGTACCTTCAGCTATCCTGCTCTCTGATCATGCCCTGGTTAATTACTAGTCCAAAATTTAATTATCTGATGATAAAATTGATTTGATAAGTTACATGTTAGAATAATATCAAACGGCCACTTAGAAGGTTCCAACAGGGATTTTCCCACCAAATCAAATTTTCCTCTTAAAAAAAAAAAAAAAAAAGAAATTAAATAAATAAAACTGTAGTTGGAAAGAATCTTGTTTAAGAGCTCTTCAGTGAGTTTGCTAGAAAAAAGAACGCAAATATTGTACTTTAAGAGTGAAAGTAAAAATAAAAGGTGTTTTAAGGTAGTTCTTGTGCTGTTTCAGCTCTATCTACTGGACGGACTGGTCAACAGAGCACCCGCAGATTGTCAGAGCCTGGATGAATGGAGACCCAGAGTCCATTCAGGTATCTTGTGTTTTCACTGAGGTCTTAACTAGTTGCTTTAAATTGTTCAAAGAGTCTGTGAAGTAACAAACTATGGATAAATATATGATAAAGGGATGACAACTCATTTTGGCATGAAAAGTGTCTTAAACGGATTTTCCTGAGGTAGGCGACAATGTTCAATACCTACCAATGGTTAATGAATCTGTCCCGTCATACTTTCTTTTTCTTACATCATGAAGAGTTTTCAGTTTAAACCTTCACTTAGCATATTTGAGTTACATATCACAATTTTAGTATATCAGCTTAGCATTTAACCTAGCACATTTAGGTACAGTCTAGAAAAATGGCTTGATGGTTGAACTTTTGTTTCATAATTCATTTGATTCATATTTCCTTTTCCATAGCGTATTGTGTACAGTACACTATATGTGAAATGGCCCAATGGACTGACCATCGATGCCCAAGCTAGCAAGCTATACTGGGCAGACGCCTACCTTGACCACATACAGTACTCGGACCTGGATGGCCGGAATGTCCACACAGTGGTCAGTGGGCGTAGATATGCCCCTCATCCTTACTCAATAGCTGTGTATAAGGTAAGTGAGTAGCACCTGTCCTGGGATCATGTGGGAAACACTAAAAACATATTCATATATATTGTTTGGGAGGCAGAATCTTCCTTTGAGGGGGGGGCGGGGGGTATTGTCCAGGGGGTATTGTCAGGGTGGGGTGGGGTGGATTGTCCAGGGATTGTCCAGTGGGTTGATTGCCCAGTAGTAGTAGTAGTAGTAGTAGTATTAGAAGTACTAATAGTAGCAATAATGACAATACTGGTCACTCTTCAGAATGACATCTACTGGACAGACTGGATGTTACAAGGCATCCTGGCAGCTGACAAGACCACTGGGGCGGGACTGCGGTACATCAAGTCTGACCTGCCAAGGATCATGGACCTCAAGATCTTCTCAAAGTCTTCCCAGGCCAGTAAGTCATCTTCTGTTCTATTGGTTAATAATAAGGGGTTGGAGATTTATTGGAAGGA